AATTCGAATTAAAAGAAACTGTACCAATAATTATGATTATAAGGAACAAGCTAAACATTTATGCAATAAACTTATATCCAAAAAATATGAAAGAAGTGTACTAGACAAGGAAATTAAGGAAACAGGAAGACTAGATAGAAAGGATCTAATTAAAAAGAAGAAAAGAGTCAAAGACAAAGGGGAAAATTTTAAATATGCATTTATTACCCAGTATAATACCCAACATCGAAAGATTAGAAATATTCTGAATAAGCACTGGGGCATCTTGCTTAAAGATCCAATTTTAGGAGAAACATTACCCAAACAGCCACCTATGATTTTTAGGAAAGCAAAAAATTTGAAAAGCTTATTGGCTCCTAGCTATGCCTTAAAAAATAAACATGAAAACAAGAAAAGTGGAATAAAGGGTTTTAGCTCATGTAATCATTGTAAAGCCTGTTTGACACAGAGGCTTTTGAAAGTAACAAAGTTTAAAAGTACAGTTATAGGTAGAGAATTTAATATCAAGACTAATATAAACTGTGATAGTAAAAATGTAATATATTTGCTACACTGCCCCTGTGGAAAGCAATACGTGGGACGCACGTGTAGAAAACTTAAAGAACGAATTTTGGAACATAAAAATAATATTAGAAAAAAATATGATAAACATTCGGTTCCCATGCATTGTAATTCATGTCTTAATTTTAGTTGGAAACACTTCCACTACATAGGTCTAGAAATAATTGATAACCATTGGAGGGGTGGCAACCTTATTAAAAGACTAGCACAGCGAGAAACGTATTGGATCAATATATTAAAAACCCTCCAACCAGGAGGATTAAATGCAGACATAGATCTGTGGTGCTTTTTGGAGTAATTCCCTTTTTCCCTCTGTTCTCTTTTATTTTTATTTTTATTTTGCTCTCTATGGGTGGTGTATATTGTCATATATCCCTCTATATGTTTTTTTTTTGGCATTGAACAAGCCAAGAATCTATTCTATTTTTTCCTACCATTGAATATAAAGGAACTACAAATACTTGGTCTCTCAGTAGTATTAGATATACTTTAATTTTAAAATTACAGATTTTCTGCTGAAGGTAGATAAACTACCATGTCTTATTATTATATTTTTTTTATTATTATTCTTTTTATATACATTTATTTTTTACAGAATTAACACTTTAATGCATTTATGGCATTATTTAGAACATCTTGGCTTGTGCATATCATATTATGCAGTATGCATGTTGCCTTATGTGGTATGCAGTTGAGCATTCATGCACACTGACATATAAATGTATTAATGTAAGAAACACAGGTTACTAGTGTGTCTGTTTTGTCTTTTATAAATAAAGTTTGTTTAGAAACTTTCAAGTTAGTAATATCTCTTTAACTTGTTTCTTATAAATAAAGATTATTCAAAAAACCTTTAAACCAGCAACATCTTTTTAACCTCTTTGCAATTCCCTTTTGTACACTCCCCCACTTGTATTTCTACCTAGAAACAGTCTTTTTTGGGACTTTTTTTCAACATCTCAGTTTGTAATTATGAGTGCCAGCCAAAACGAAGGTGGAACGCATAGCTGGAACGCATGACGTCATCACGCACATCACATGACCGCACAGGATACACGAAACCCGGAAGTAACTCAAATTTGAATTGAAAACAGCTGAAGAGAAATGGAATCACCTGCAGAACCACTATTGGGACTGATTGGGGGTGGTATATATTGGGAGATGTTTGTAACTAGGTTTATATGTATTTTTATTCATCATCCTTGTGAAAGATTGTCCCTGAGGAAGTCCCTAACAGGGAAGAAACGCGTTGGACTGATTTACCTGCTTTTATTTACTTTGATGTAAGTAATAAATGCTTTTTTTACTCTTTACTCAAACAGTCATTCAATCATTTTTTTGCACTTTGTTTTTTATGTGAGATCCACATTTACCAAGTATCTGAAGCAAAAGAAGACACAGCATATTTCTGAAAGCATTTCTTGGGATGTTAAAGTGTGAGTGAGCATTTGTCACTTACTCATATACCCAATCACAGTATATACAGTATTGCACTATGCCATATATTTTCTGTTTCTCTAGCTTGGAATAGCCCTATATCATATGCATGTTGAATTGAAGATAGGAGGAAATCTTCGGGCATATCCTATATTGCTAAGGGAAGTTATTTCACTTTCTATCACAATCACTTGTTGAATTGTAATTCACACAGCACTGCATGTGAACACTACTTATGAGTGTGTGAGAAATTCTATATATCTTGGTCTGAACTTCAAGCCAGATAAGTGCCATCTAGGTATGGCTGAGGTACAGTACCTGGGACACAGAGTGGGATGTGGGAGCCAGAGACCAGAGCAAGCCAAGGTAGAGGCAATAGAAATGCATGGCAGGCCGCAAATGTTCTATTTAGCATAAAAAAGTATGATTTTTTAAACCAACAATGTAAGAGTAGTATTTAAGGCTTTTATTGGAGTGCAAGAAATGCACCGCAGTCCGCAAATGTTCTATTTAGCACAAAAAAGTGTGATTTTTTAAACCAACAATGTAAGAGTAGTATTTAAGGGTTTTATTGGACTGCAAGAAATGCACGGCAGGCCGCAAATGTTCTATTTAGCACAAAAAAGTGTGATATTTTAAACCAACAATGTAAGAGTGGTATTTAAGGATTTTATTGGACTGCAAGAAATGCACGGCAGGCTGCAAATGTTCTATTTAGCACAAAAAGTGTGATTTTTTTTTAAACCAACAATGTAACAGTTGTATTTAACGGTTTTATTGGACTGCAAGGCATGCACCACAGTATTTGACGGTTATATTTGACTCTCAGATATGAAGGGCATGCCCCAAATTTACTTTCTAGCACCAAAAAAATGTGAATTGGTCAAACTGCGATGTAACCACAGTATTTGACGGTTCTATTTGACTCTCAGATATGAAGTGCACTCCCCAAATTTACTTTTTAGCACCCAAAAAATGTGAATTTGTCAAACTGCAATGTCACAGCGGTATTTAAAAATGCCTAGATGTTGCCCACTGAGCTACCAGAACCAGGGACGTTTTAGCCGCGAGGCAAACTGACATGCTGGGGGGGGGATATGATGTCATCATCCGGCTCCCACCCTCACTCTGCGGGCGTCGAGCGAGGGAGCTGAGCAGACCGCTCAGGGGAAAGTGCTCCCTCGCCAGCCGCCCGCCTGCCCAGCAGCCACTGGACCCACAGGGAGAGGAAGAACCCCCCCCCAGCATTTCCAAAAGGTAAGGAGGCTGGGGGGGTTAAATAAAAAAAGAAAAGAAAAAACACAAGTGAGTATGTTAGTGTGTGTGTGTCTGTTCGTGTGTGTGTGTCTGTTAGTGTGTGTGTGTGTGTGTGTGTCTGTTAGTGTGTGTGCGTCTGTTAGTGTGTGTGTCTGTCTGTTAGTGTGTGTATGTCTGTCTGTTAGTGTGTGTGTGTGTCTGTTAGTGTGTGTGTGTGTCTGTCTGTGTGTGTGTTTACCTGTTAGTGAGTGTGTGTTTACCTGTTAGTGTGTGTGTGTGTTTACCTGTTAGTGTGTGTGAGTGTGTTTGCTTGTTAGTGTGTGTGTCTGTGTGAGTGTGTGTGTCTGTTAGTGTGTGTCTGTTAGTGAGTGAGTGTGTGTGTGTGTGTGTCAGTGAGTGAGTGTGTGTCTGTTAGTGAGTGTGTGTTTCTGTTAGCTAGTGTATGCATATCTGTCAGTGAATGTGTATGTGTGTGTGTGTGTATTTAGAAGGCGGGGCGGGGGGGAGGGTTAGGTGGGGGAGGTGCGGGGTGGGGGTAGGGTGCCTGAGTTTTATCCTGCCTAGGGCAGCACAAAACCAGGATACACCACTGACCATAAAAGGATTAAAGTAATGTGCCTTGCACACATGCAGTTGCAAGTGCCCATCTAACAAACAGACTGATTGCTTATTTCTCTGTGGCACTGGGCTCAGGGCAGGGTACAAAAATGTAGTATAGCACTCACAAAAATAATCGCTGTAGTTTGCAGATTCAACACCAGAATTCTTTCCTAATCTGTCCCTCACAGCTGCAGCATCCTCTCCCTACACTATATAGAGTGTGGGACATATGCTGCACTGGCCAATCACAGCCATGCCCTTAGTAGGCATGGCTGTGATGTCTTCTAAGGGCACACTAGTCAAATGCTTGTTGATTGGCTGCCCTGCAGCTTTTCAAAACGCGCCATTAAATTGCCGAACACCGAACTCGAACTTGTTATTGAAATGTTATTGAAATGTCCGGTATTCTGGTTCGGGGTCCAAAAATCGCAATGTTCAGTACGAACCCGAACTACAGTTCGGGTGCGCTCAACTCTACTAGTGAACTCTCAGTAGGATATTGCACTTACCTGCCCTCCTCTCCTTCCAGCATCTTCCTGTAGGTGGCGATCTCAATATCCAGAGCCAGTTTCACATTCATCAGCTCCTGGTATTCTCGCAGTTGGCGAGCCATGTCCTGCTTGGCCTTTTGTAAAGCACCTTCCAGCTAAGAAAGCTTGTTCTTGGCATCTCTGACAGCAGTTTCTCCATGTTCCTCAGCTTCATTTATTGCAGATTCAAGTGCAGAGCGCTGAAATGTTTTTATACATTATATAATATATTACTTGAAGTTACACTTCTGTTTTTGAGAGTCACTTTTTTAAAGTGAATACAGTCGGGAAATGTTAACAATATCAACTGAAGTGGATTTTGCTGAATTTAAATTTTATTTAACAATATCAACTGAAGTGGATTTTGCTGAATTTAAATTTTATTTAACCCCTTAAGGACCAAACTTCTGGAATAAAAGGGAATCATGACATGTCACACATGTCATGTGTCCTTAAAGGGTTAATTTTATCTCTTCAACTACCTGGCGAATTGCACGATTTAATTCACAGATCTCATCTCTGCTGCTCTGCAGATTGTTCCCATTTCTTCCTGCCGCTGTCTGAAGCTCCTCAAACTACCAAAGGTGGAAGGAAAACTTAGTATAGAAACATTTCTTATAGGTAATGATCTGCATGATTTGATTTGGATAGACTCACCCGTGACTGGTACATGGCCTCTGCTTCAGCTCTGCTCCTGTTAGCAATGTCCTCATATTGAGATCTGACCTCAGCAATGATTCCATCCAGGTCCAGATCCCTACTGTTATCCATAGACACAACCACTGAGGTGTCTGAGATCCGAGCCTGGAGCTGGGCTATTTCCTATAAGGATATAAAGTACAGACAAGACATGGTTGTAAAAGCCTCAAGTTTCCCATGTATAATAACTTTGTTATTAACATAAAGGCATTCTAATCATACATAGATATTATCAGGGTTGTTAATATACTTCGTACTTGTTTTGCATTCCTTGAAAAAAGGCTGATTTCATGGATATTAAAAATAGAAATTTGAACCGGGACACTACTGCACAATCTCACTGCTAAACGTCGATATTAAGATCTTCACCAAACTTATCCACCCGGACCAGATTGGGTTCATCCCCACGCGGAAATCCAACGACAATACCATGAGAACGTATGATCTCACCTGGTACACAAACCACCCACAGATTTAAACCGTACTCCTATCATTAGACGTCAAAAAGGCGTTCGACCGGTTACTTTGGCCTTTTCTCTTCGCCACCCTCTGTAAATTTGGCATCCTGGGCCCTATCATAAGAGCACTGCAAGCACTATACTCCTCACCTATGGCCAACCTACTCCTTCCCTCTTTGCAACCCCCGTCCTTTAAAATCCTAAATGGCACCCTACAAGGCTGCCCTCTTTCCCCGATCCTATTCGCCCTATCTCTGGAACCACTCCTACAAACACTCCGCAAACAGGGGGACATCAAGGGAATCATCATCAGGGACGAGGAATACAAAGTTGCCACTTACGTGGACGATCTACTACTCACGATCACAGACCCTCTGAACTGCATACTTCCACTCCTAACGGCACTCACTAATTATGCCACTGTCTCCGGGTATAAATTAAATGTAGACAAAACCAAAGCACCGCTCCGACTCACCCAGATGGGCAGGACAGACTCGGATTGATGCTGGAAAGGTTGTGGGGAACAGGGCACCTTCATATACCAATGGTGGGAATGCACACACTGTGGCGAGAAGTCGTGCACCTAACCTCCCAAATCATACATACTGATATACCACTAGATCCCTGTATCTGGCTCTTATCCAAACCCCATCAGGATATACCAAGAGCTCAAAACAAACTCATAGCAAAAATCGCTCTCGCCACCCGGAGAACCATAGCTGCAAAATGGGGGAGTCCCAACATCCCTACAATGACCACAATGAGGGGGAAAATTAAGGACACCAGGGAAATGGATAGCCTCTCAGAACTCATCCATGACAACACCAAAACCTACCATAAGATTTGGGATTCTTGACTCCTGGAATTCCCCCCCAACGTGTAACAGCCAACCCAGATGGAAGGCAACGCGACTGAGGACCACAACCCTCCTCCCTCCCCCCCTTGACATGACAAGACACCCTAACATGTCCCCCTAACACCTCACCCTACCACAACACCACACCCCAACTGCACCCCCTACAAGGCATCCAAGGTACCTCACACCACGCTCTGAAGCCTAACACCCACTATGTAACATAGCAGGCCACACATCCTAGGAACCAAATGACCCACACACTGTGGCAATCGCCAGACCACCCCCCTGAGCTTGCGAAGCCGACATAAGAGAGGAACCAAACTGGGGCGACATCCCCTTTACTTCCCCCACTACCCCCAATGACCACACAACAAAGTTGACACGGTCACCGTATAGACCACAAAGAGACAAGCCCACACAACGCAGGTCCCAACAACAAAATCCCATTGACAGATGAGTACCCCACTGCACCTGACCCTTGCTAAATCCTCCACACTCCTATTTCAGACCACACTAAGGGGAACCGCATCACAAAACAAACACACCCAACAAGCTCAGAGGTAGTAAAAATGGGAACCCCCAAAAATGTAATGGGGATAACAGCTTGCACAAGACAGAGGTCCTACGACAATACCCAAGTTGACCAAAACGACCTGTAGAAAATCATCATAAACACTCCAAGTGTCTCACTACGCTCACCTACAAAAACACCTCACAACACATATGCTCCTTGACATGGGCAACAATTTACATACCAAATTTTATATGCCAGTATGTAATGCATTTATTCTTCGACCAACCTAAACCACGAAGGCACTGCATTTGAAACTGTTATCCCACCCCCTCCCCTGTCTTTTTCTGTACCCCCACCGCCCCATAAAAAACAACCGTGGGAGGAATCAACTAAACAATATATGCAATAGCACTCAATATGTACACTGCAACTATGGAAAAATGTATGTACTGCAAATTGTAACCCCTGACTCTTTTTTCTGTACCCCCCCCCCCCCATAATTCAAAATCTTCAAAATTGAGAATTAAAGAAAAAAAAAAAGAGAAATGTGAAAGTATATTTACCGCATCATACAGAGTCCTCAAGAAATTGATCTCTTCATTCAGGGAATCAGCCTTTCCTTGTAATTCCACTCTATTCATAAAAGCTGCGTCTACATCCTGAAGAAGAGATGAATGCATAGTAACAGTAAAATTATAGATATATGTTTATATTTGCTATACTTTTACATATAGATTCAATTTATGTATGATATCACTCACCCTCTTTATTCCAACAAACTCATTCTCTGCAGCAGTGCGTCTGTTCATTTCTTCTTCATATCTACAATAGAATGTTAAACATTAATAACAAGCATAAAGAATTCTAAATATACAGGGTGCTTTTTCTTAAGAAACTTTTAAGTTTACATTTTCTTCTTAATAATATTAAAGTGGACTGGACTCTGTAATACATTTTAAGAGAGCACGTGCAAAAATATAGACAAATGATGTGTTGGAAATTGGAATTTGTACAAACATTGAAGACATTTATTATTTTCTTCCCAGATATATATGACCTCTGATGAGGTGTGGCGAAACGCGCGCGTCAGGGGACTCGGAGGATTCACTGCTATAGCTCAGAGTGAGGCATTGTGATCATGTGCACCGCCCTCTCCACATGAATCCCGAGCGTTTTTTCTGTTTCTACCTCAGCAGGCATCTTTTTCTTTTTTCCTCTCCTTCCCAAGAGGTCTATCTAACAAAATATGGCTTTTACCATCTATGGTATCAGATACCTATGATCGGATACTAGTAGCCATACCTACCCTGGGGTGTCTGAGGGTTCTAGGAACAGATTTTCACGTTTATTTATCTTAACTCTTTTATCTGTGGGGCACCTGTGTTATCTGTATTACCGTTTTGTTAACTAGTTAATTACCCAATAGCTGGTTACACTGTGCCCTAAGGAGTACACATCAAAACTCATATATCTGTGGGGCACAAATGATATCTATATTACTGTTTTGTTAACTAGTCAATTACTCAACAACTGGTCACACTGTGCCCTTAGGAGTACACACTAACAGCTATTTATACTGTGTCTACAATTGCAACTGTGTTTTGTTGCAATAGACATCACAGAGGCAGCCTGAAAACTTCAGAACAGGCCCTCTGTATACTATGTTCTTATGAATTTTCTCAATAGCAGCTGATTTTTTACCTACTGCTTTTTTGCTATGTGTTTTTGTGTAGATTTGGAGATACATTGCACGCTCAGCCAGTTGAATCTCTGGACCTTCTGGCAGTAATACATATCCAGTACTACCCACTATTGGGTCACAGAGCACTCCTTTCTACTTTCTTTTTCGATTATATTTACTCTCTTTTTATCTTTATATTATTAAAAGTTAACTTTTATACGTATCCGGGGCACTCAGCCTGTCCTCCCCTTTTTTTGTTACTACTCTGGTAGTTTATTGTGGGTTACCCCCACTATTTGAGTGCTTCCCTAAGCTTCCGTTTTCTTTTCTTCTTTCAGATATATATGATATATCTGAATAACTCCATGATGTTGCAGTACGAGTGGATTTATTATGTATATTTATTTATTCTATTATATTATAAACTATCTAAATAGCAGCATACCTTCTCCTTAGTTCTTCCACAGATTGCTCCATATTGTTCCTTTCTGAGTCCAGACGTTCTCTTTCACATCCCAGACTCTCCAGCTGTCTCCCGAGGTTACCAACAAAAGCCTCAAACAGTGGTTCTATCTGAAAGTGGGCATTTTTCTGTTCTTGTAATAAAGACCACTTTGTCTCCAGCATTTTATTCTGCTGTTCCAAAAATCTAACCTAGAAAAAAATATTTTTATACTTTTTGTTAGAAACAATATATATTTAGTACAAGATGTCTAATAATATTTTAGAAAATGTATTAAATGTACTACAAGTGACATAGAAGCATGGCTTATTTCACCATGTAATGAAAACAGTATTTTTATTATTATTAATATTAGACTGCAATAGAAATTTAGTAACCCATACAAGTCTCTCGACCAGAGATAGGCATCCTTTGGCTCTCTAGATGTTGTGGAATGCATGTCACCTGATGCTTTGCTAGCATTATGACTGTAAGAGCATTATAGGTAATGTAGTCCACAACATCTGGAATGCTGAAACTTGACTACCACTGCTCTAGACATTACTTGTATCCCAAATCATTCAGAAGTTAGTAGCTTGTTCTGTAATAGCATATCTAGATAAAACCTTAATGAATTAGTTAACACTTATTGTAGATCTAGCTGTAATTACATTGCACATACTTAGATTGAATTATGTAATATTTTATTCATTAAAAAAAATCTAAAAGTGCTGGTATTGGTAGACATTGGGTTCTGCACCAAAAATGCTTCTGAAAGCACACTATTTTGATGTAAACTGCAAAATAGTTTAATTTTGTTGTCTCATAACCTCTTGAAATTAAAACATAAAAACCATCAGCATAAATGTTTTTAAGGTACAAACTACATACAATAAAAACATAGCTGTGGAGTTGTAAATTAAGTAACTTCTTCCCTCTTTTAACCTCTGCATAACTGTTTTAAGAAGGTATTGCACATAAGCATTGTAAACATTCTGCTATTTCTTTATTCCACATATTCATTAAAATTATCTCACCTTGTCAATGAAAGAAGCAAATTTGTCATTCAGTCCTCTAATCTGATTCTTCTCTTCAGTCCTCACTCGCTGAATGCTTGGGTCAATCTCCAGGTTGAGATTAGCCAGAAGACCTTGGTTCACAGTAACTTGATTGATACCTCCAGAGCAACCAGATCCCCCAAATCCATAACCAATACCTCCAATACTGAAACCAGATCCATATCCAGATCCATGTCCAGATCTGTGTCCAGTTTTCCCAGAATGGCAACTTCCCATTGAGATCTTGTTTCCTCTGGAGCCCATACTATGGGCACTTCTGCTGCTAAAGCAATGCTGTGTCTTATGACCATGAGCTGCTGATTTGGAGGAGTGAGATAATGTGTGGTAAGAGCTGCCATGTTTAGGAGAAGCCAACAGGAGCTGAAGTACTTGTGCCCAGAGGTACCAAGGATGGAGTGATGAGACATGATATTACTTCTTGCAAAGGAGATGTAATGATGTAGAGATCACGTAAAGTCTGCACAGGCGATTCACATCTTCAAGACAAAAACTCTTTTATACTTCAAATGGGTGTTGGCATGCTCAATCAAAATAATGTTATTAGCTGCTATAATCATTGTTTGAGAATATTATTGCTGTTTGATTTCACGGAAATAAAACTTTAACAAAGCTACATGCATTTATAGTTGGCTTCCTTTAGTTTAAAGAGACACTATAGTCACCAGAACAACTACAGCTTATTGCATTTGTTCTGGTGAGTAGAATCATTGCTTTCAGGCGTTTTGCTGTAAACACTGTCTTTTCAGAGAAAATGCAGTGTTTACATTACAGCCTAGTGATAACTTCATTGACCACTCCTCAGATGTCTGTTACAGATCCTTCCTGGGTCATGGCTGCCTAAAATGCATCCAAACATTCAGTGTCTCCTTCCTCTCCATGCAGACACTGAACTTTCCTCAGACATTCATTGATTCAATTCATCTCTATGAGGAGATGCTGATTGGCCAGGGATGTGTTTGAACCATGCTGGCTCTGCCCCTGATCTGCCTCTTTGTCAATCTAAGCCATTCTTATCGGGAAGCATTGTGATTTGTTCAGGCTACCACTTCTGCTGAAGTCAGCAGGCAGTGGGCAGGTCTACAGAAAACATGAAAAAAGCCTGCAACTTCAGGCTTGAATTCAAGTAAGGTTTTACTATTTTTAGGGCGGCATAAAGGGGACCAGGGTGGCTAGATGATGGTTTTAACCCTATAGGGACAGGAATACATGTTTATACCCCCTCTGCCTGATCCGGCCCCCCTGGTCATACTGTCTTTGCGATAACATGGCCGGAATAGCTGGCTCATGCAGTGACTGCAGGGGGCCTATCTGAGCTGTAAGGCAGTCCCCCTAATGTCTGGAAAATAGTTTATAAAGTTATTAAAAGGTAATAAAAAGTTCAATAAAGTAAATAAAAGTACTCGGATCATATATATATATATATATATATATATATATATATATATATTCTAAGTACTTTTATATACACATACACATACATACAACATTAATAAAAGTGTATTTTAATATTGATATATATATATATATATAAATATATATATATATATATAATTACAATTATATATTATATATATATCTATATATATATAAATATATATATATATATATATTAATATTAAAATACACTTTGAATTATGTTAACTTTACATATATATAATAAAAATAATCAATAAATAAACTAAAAAAAATAAATAAATAAATTAAAAATAATTTATATACCAGTTTTAATTTGTTCTAACTGTATTTTGATATTAATATACATATATATATATATATTAAATTCAAAATACATTTAGAATGACGTTATAAATACATATATGTATCTATATCTATCTTTTTATCTACCTATCTATTTATCTACATGTGTATATAGATATATATAAATAAAAATTATTTAAAAAAATATATATATATACATACATATACATTTACATTCTGCAAATATATTTATATAATTTTTTTACGTAATCAAGTCATTTAATTAATTACAATCTGAGGGACCTGTCCGACAACCCAGGCTGAAAGCCCAGAGAATTTGACTCGCAAGCCCTATATTTAACCCTGTAACTTTCTTGGATACCATAAAACCTGCACATGGGGGGTACTGTTTTACTCGGGAGACTTAGCTGAACACAAATATTATCGTTTTAAAAAAGTAAAACATATCACAACGATGAAATTGTCAATAAAATTTCAGTTGTTTGCATTTTTCACACACAAGTGGTACTTTCACTGATGATATAATTGTTGTGATACATTTTAACTATTTTAAAACACTAATATTTGTGTTCAGCGTAGTCTCACGAGTATAACAGTACCCTCCATGTACAGGTTTTCAAAAGTTACTGAGTCAAATATAAGGCTTGACTTTCCTTTTTTTTACATTTAAATTTGCCAGATTGGTTATGTTGCCTTTGAGACCGTATGGTAGCTCAGGAATGATTGCATATCTTTGCAAAAGTAGACAACCCAGGGTATTGCAAATGGGGTATGTCCAGTCTTTTTTAGTAACCACTTAGTCACAAACACTGGCCAAAAATAGCATTCAATTTAGTTTTTTGCATTTTTCACACACAAATATTAACGCTAAGTTTGGCCAGTGTTTGTAAGTGGCTACGAGAAAAGACTGAACTTACCCCATTTGTGATAGCTTGGGTTGTCTACTTTTGCAAATAGTAAGCCATCATTGGGGTAATTTTCATTCCTGGGCTACCATTTGGTCTCAAAGACAATATTACCAGTCTGCCAAATGTCAATGTGTATAAACTGAAAAATGTAATGTGCTATATTTGACCCTGTAACTTTCCAAAACACCATAAAACCTGTATATTGGGGGTACTGTTTTACCCGTGAGACATCGCTGAATACAAATATGCGTACTTTATTGCAGTAACAGCTAACAGTATTGTGACATTCACATTTAAAGTGCCATGCAAAACAAAACAAAATCAAAAAAATCTTAATTTCTCATTTTCAAAAAGATTTTATTCATATTAAATTATATTTAATATATAAATATTTGCTATGTCATGAAAGCCCCGTTTCTCCTGAACAAAATGATATATAATAAGTGTGGGTGCACATATTATGAAAGAGGTGAATTACGCCTGAACAAACATATAGCGCAAATTCAAGGTTTTGTATGTTTTGTTTTGATCACAACTTGTACAATTGACTCAGTCCTTAAGAGGTTAAAATATTTTAAGTAATGGATTGTTTGACAATTTATTCTGCCATATTTTTTCAAATTTTGACTTTTATGTTTGAAAAAATACTCACTCAAATGTTTCTTATCTACTAATGAAATATATATTATTTCCCTGCAGCACATTTTTAACAAAAAATGCATAATGTAGATGTTATCACCATGCTACCACTGTAATTTGGCAAAATGTTACTGCACAAATCCCATCAACAGATATGGCACGTTAAGGCAAGAAGAATTGACATGTAACTCGGCCAAAACATTCACTGACACAGCTCCTTGAAGATGAAGTTGTTCATCAGGATGAAGATGGTTGTGGCTGCGAGGTAATGTTTTAGATAGGTATACCTACGGTCCACTTGACACCATGTCCACCATCAACAAAGCTGAGATGTCATATTTGGGAGTCTTCGCAAATTATGCCGTTTTTAGCCTCATTAAAATGCAGTTTTAGCCTCATTGATATGTTATATTTCTGCCTGATCAAATCTTTATGATTTTTGCACAAAAAAATAAAAACATGTTTTGCATAATGCTACACCTAAAACACACAAGTTGGGAAGGAAAATGTGATATTGTGAGAGTGACACAAGGTGGGCTTTATGTAGAGGTCTTCAAATGTGGGAAGGAGGAGTTATGGGAAGATACACAAAGTTTGGGACAGATACATTTATAGTGTGGGAATAGGGAGATATACATAGGAGTAAATGGGAAGTGCATTAGTAAGGGGAGGGAGGTAAACACAACACACAAACACACGACTTCACACATACATACTAACAGTCCAAACAATTATACCACTGTATTCACATCTTGACATTCTGTTCATTTACTTTAGTATCATTTATTTACTGATGATCAAAATCTAGCAAATTACAAATTAAAATGACAAAATGGAGGCTAATTGTGTGTGCAATAAGGTGTGACTGTAGTTGAGTTGAGAAATTCTCTAAATCAAATATATCTGTAATCTCTTTAGACTTTATTCTAAAGTCATGCAATTAAATAACCCTCTATTGACCCTCCTAAAATGGGGTTCTGGATCTGCCCATGAGCTTGTGTCCTCTGTGAAAGCCAACCTTAGTGACTGCATTGCCTTAGTTGACCTGAATGCTGTCTTTAGCTATGTAGTTTGGGCTGAGACATCCAACCACTTTCTATTCATTGTTAACTGTTTAGTAGTCAAACTAAACAAGAAATAGTGTTTTAACTTTATGATTGTGCTTATATCTGCAACTACACTTCATCGTAAAGTACATTTCACAAATGAAAAGAAAAGCCATTTGAGTTTTTGGTCAGGACTTTGCCAACTGATCATCCTTTTCTGGGTGTCTTCTTTTTAAACTAACAGAAAAGCACTTAATATTGCACCATTTCTACCTCTATCTCTGTTTCTATATCTGTTTTTTATGTAAAGTAACACAGACAATACAACTTACCATTTGTGCGTATATCCTTCAGCAACTGTGTCACTTCAAGCAATGCTGAGAACTGACGGGTTACTCACTACACACTGGATTTTGGCCTCAATTTAATATTGCTGGATAGGCAGCCGGATGGTTTTGCTCCATTTGATATGGCCATTGTGACTTAATGAATATGTTTTTTGAAAGACATCTATATTTTTATTTTTGTTGAACTATGAAACCAGCTTGTGACGAGACCAATCTCGCCACTGTGCATTGGAGGAGCCTGGTTGCCCGCCTGCTGCCTTTAGACTATGGCCCCATGTTGAAACTCTTGATTTTCCCCTGCGGAGACACAAACGCCGGCTCATTCGGTGCTGGCCCTGTTTGAGTGGTGATACTCCAGATAGCTATGCCATGGAGCCCATTCATATAATGAAAGACTATTGGAAAGACTTTGGCTCCATGGCAATTGAACTGTATGTGTGTTCTCTGAGCGCCATTCAGTAATAATGTGCGCTCAGATCTGAGCTATCTGGGGATATGTTGAATGTTTCTGTTTTGTGCAATGGCTGCACAGTTATATGTTTTTCTGTGTTTTATTGTCTTTTGCTGCCATGTGTTCAATGGAGTTTTGCCTCTGTCCTTGGAGATAATTGGATTACTTCCCAATTATCTCCAGGATAGAAGACTCTGTGGAACTGGTTTTGGGCAGAAAAGCCATGCTTCCTTTGGTCACAAAGAACTACGTTCTATCTTTTATGTGAATGTGATGCATACTTTTCAAGTTATGAATAATGTGGAAAATTTTTATTTATCTGCTTGTGATAATTACATTACCCATTGTGTAAGGTAATTGTATCACAGGCAGAGGGGAGGATTTTGTGTGGGAGTGTCTGAGTGTATTGTATGTGTTTATTGGTTGTGTTCCAAAACCCTGTGGGTGGTACTAATGTGTAAGAAACCCACAGCTCTGTCTGTTCCTGCTTGACCCTCAAAACGGAGCCTTGTCTCGTTCTTGGGGGGATTTATTGTATGCTGTTCCAGTTTGACTGCTAGGAGTGTAAACCTATTTGTATGGTTTTTCTTATTCGGCTGTTTACAGCATTCTTATGGTTCCGGTTCGTCTGTTTACGGCATTCAAATGCTTCTCCAGTTCGGTGGATTGTTGTCTACAGTAGCTGTGCCTGTGTCTCTGGAAGGGAAGATCTACTAAATGGCGGTTTAATTTAATTACACAATTAATATATCGCCCTAATGCCCATTTGTTATGGGCAAATGCAAATATTACAAGTTTTATAATGAAATGTTGTATTTCTTAAACTGTGTAACTGTGTACTTTGTCAACATATTGTTTTTCATAACTGTTTCTTTAAGCTATAACCTCAGTGCATAATATGTTTGTGCCATTTTGTCCCAGACAAATTACAATAACAATAATGCATAAACAAGCTTCAAGGCTATACTACGACTCTTGCAGTACACAATATACTGTTGTAACCCCAAGTTAATGGAACTTCCCCAAATCCGTGAATCTCCCACGACTGTACACTTACGACTTAGTATAAACAACAGATAACCTATTCAGACTTTAAGATGCCATCTTGAACTAAGTCAGGAAAATTTCCATGACGTTTGCACCCTTTAGTTATGGCCTTCTATGTTTGCCAAATTAAGGGAGGTCCTAAAATGAATAAAGTAAATGAACTACGGTAACCCTAAAATGGAGACACCTAAGGTATAAATAGGTGTACTTTTAAATGTTAAGACACAGAGGAGAGACTTGGAGACAGACGCTGCTCCATCCTAAAATGACAGAAAGGCTGACATGATGACATGTTCAGAAGGGTATGTTAACCTATTAATGATATTTGCAAGCATGTAATTTAATCTTATAAACTCTGCTATAATGGATTTTATATTTATATTTTTATATAATAAATATCCAAAAGACAATCTTGCTTCCAAGACAATCCTTATTTTATATTGTATTCTCAATTATTTATATATGGTAAATAGAGGATCTCTTACTAACTATTTAAAATTATGGCTAAGATATCTGTATGGTTAGCCCTACTAAGTTCTATGCTTTAAGACATTATAGTGGTAAATAAGGGAACCACCTGTGGTTACACATTCATATTTATTAAAACAGTAATGTAGGATGGGATAATCTCTAGTATAGGGCTTCATTTAAAATTTTTAGATAAGCTGTTCAAATGATTGAATATTTTTAAAAAGCTATACAAATTATTTAACATTTTTAGGCAAACTTTTTTTTTTCAAAATACTTAATCAAAATTATGTCATACATAAAAAGTATATAAATGTATGGAAACAAAATCTAAATATGTTTAAAAAAAATGAAATCATTATAAAAGTTTATATAAAATATACTGAATCTTTTAAAAAGCTTATCTAAAAATAATTCATCAAGGCCATGATGACGTGTGCAACACCACAATCTAGTATTTAATCGTATAGAATTTTTTAGCGCATGAGATAAATCTTCCCATGACACATAATGCCATAATGTGTTAATTCTTAAACAATTTTCAATAAACACAATGATATCAAGCATTGTTGAATGAATACCATTTTATTGAAGAGAAACGGTACAGGTTTGTAGTAAAGCTTATATTTACAACATGAGTGAGGATTATCCTAAGAGAAGATGGGGAATAGAAATATTTTGAGTTTGCAAATGAGAATGATCTATGGATAGTGAATACCAAACAGATCAATATAGCAGACTGATAATATATAGTGCCAGTGATTTCACTACAATCTATACTTTCACTTTTCCTCTAATATATGTAGAGACATGGTTAGCTTCTACTTTAGCAGTGGTGTCCGTGGCCAGAGCTGTGTTTGCTTTTGGAGAGGTGGCTAAAGCTCCTCCCACTGCTTGCACTGAATCCTCCCTTATGATCACTTGTACCATCGGACTTCCCTCCTGAGCTGGATTTTCCTCCAGTGCTAGAATGTAGCACAGCTGAAAGACATGAAGGTAGAATGTTAAATATTTGCTGAAAAACATGGATGTAGAAAGTTAACTATTTGTACTTGACTGGACTGAAACCTTCAACCATAGAAGCAGCCAGTTTAGGTCTGTAATAAATATGAAATATATAGAGAAATATACATAACGAGGGACAATTTGCAAATAAAAAAATCATTTAATTAAAAAAAGTTTAAAGACTCTTCTTAAAATAACTATTAAAATCTGTTTTATTACAGTTTATTTACTTAAAATTTTACATTAAGATCTGTTACACATATAGAGTAAGTATATTAATAAGCACATTTGTATATGTATGTGTGGGTGACCACGTGTTTGTGTGTTACATGATAATCAGCAATTGTTACTAACATTGCCTACAGTGTAAAACAATATATAGATCAATTTAACACTGGAAAGAGGAACGTGACAGTGTACCTTATTCAGAATTTAAAGTGTGACATTAACAAGTGAGTTACACGCTTAATCTGTGTATGCATATTTCCTCGTTAACATTTAATTAAATTGTTTAAATATTGCCTCACTTACATATATTAACAGAGTCATGTGCAGTCAACCTAAAACAAAACATAAAAAGTATTAGTTTAAATTACTTTCTTACATTTGGTCAAAATAATAAGTGATAATAATGTAATGGCATTTGATTTCAAATGTATAGTTCTTTTACATTTGGAATTCTATTTGAAATGTATAGTTTTTATTTTTTTATTTTAGAACCTTAGTGAGTTACATCTGTGATATCTTTTTTGCAACCACTATGTAATAAAGGTTAAAACAGCTGGTATGTGCCGTATGTTTACTGGGAGTCTGTCGTCTACAAGAAGAAAAATGTTTTGGCTTCCTGGGAGGCCTCAGTCCTGTATACAAAAATAAGTATATCTGTAACTTATAAAGGGTATCATGTAGACAGTCACATAACCCAATACAAATGTGCAAAAATAAGCATATTCCTTCTGTTAAAAAAATGTTATTTTCAATAAAGACAACATGAGGTGTAGCACCAATAATTAATATCCAGATACCATTTAATACTATCTTTTAAATGGGCACTCTTAGCACCAGAACAATTGCAACTGAATATAGTGTTTAGATGAAATGAGACTTCACTGCAGTCTCTACGATGTAAACACCACCTTGTATGTGAAAAGGCAATGTTTACATCGCTCCTTTAGAAGATGCAAGCTTGGCAAGGCCGATGTTCAAAATCCTCAGGCTGTGCGTGAAGATGCTGTATGCTCTCCATAAAGATGTATTGGAAAAATGCATTTCTATGAAGAGATGCTGATTGGCACAGTGTGAAGATATCTATATCTATGTGCTCAGTAGACCCTGAATGCTTGTCTACAGAATATTGGTTAAGATATTCAGTAATGATGATCTCAGACAGAGATGGAATGGTGGCCTTAGAAAGAATGTCATGGAATGGGATTAAAGCAAAGTGAAACTGTTTTATTTTAGTTAGAAAGGGGGGCATGAATTTAATAGCCAGGAGTACCTCTAACATTCAAAGCATATATTTGTCTTTCTAATTTTCTAGTTCTCTTTTAATGCGTGTTACTATTTCCACTATTTCTCGCAAACACATATTTGTTATTATGGGGATAAGTAAACATGTATTAAAAATCAAAGGAAGTGAAAGTACTGCTATAATGTCTGATACAGGTGCATTGTTTTAGAGATTACAACTTGATGCAGAAGATTACTATTATAGAATAAAACAACAAAGAGCAGATTAAAGAACTGAGATGTTGAGATCGACATAAAGAGATTGCTATTAAAATTTGTCCTGCTAAAAGACTCAATGATGAAAACATATAGGAACATAGAGATGTAGGTCCACAGTTAGAAACCTGATGAATGTACGGTTTGTTTGAATACCTAGTAAATTCTCAGTAGGATATGGCACTCACCTGCCCTCCTCTCCTTCCAGCATCTTCCTGTAGGTGGCGATCTCAATATCCAGTGCTAGTTTCACATTCATCAGCTCCTGGTATTCTCGCAGTTGGCGAGCCATGTCCTGCTTGGCCTTTTGTAGAGCACCTTCCAGCTCAGAAAGCTTGTTCTTGGCATCTCTGACAGCAGATTCTCCACGTCCCTCAGCTTCATTTATTGCAGATTCAAGTGCAGAGCGCTGAAATGTTTTTATACATTAATATATTACTTGTAGTTACACTTCTGTTTTTGATTGTAACTATTTCAAAGGAATACAGTTGGGAAACGTTAACAATATCAATTGAAGTGCTGATTTTGCTGAATCTAAATTTTATTTAATTTTCTCTCTTCAACTACCTGGTTGACTCACTTGATGTAAAACATGTTTTACCTGTGCTTTCACATTGTCGATTTCTCCCCTCAGTCCCTGAATTGCACGATTTAATTCACAGATCTCATCTCTGCTGCTCTGCAGATTGTTCCCATTCCTTCCTGCCGCTGTCTGAAGCTCCTCAAACTACCAAATGCAAGAAAAATTAGTATAGAAACATTTTTTTATAGTTAATGATCTGTATGATTTGAATTGGATAGACTCACCCGTGACTGGTACGTGGCCTCCGCCTCAGCTCTGCTCCTGTTAGCAATGTCCTCATATTGAGATCTGACCTCAGCAATGATTCCATCCAGGTCCAGATTCCGACTGTTATCCATGGACACAACCACTGAGGTGTCTGAGATCTGAGCCTGGAGCTGGGAAATTTCCTATGAGGATACAAAGAACAGACGAGGCATGTTGTAAAAGACTCAATTTTCTCACGTATAATAAGTTCATTATTAACATAAAGGAATTCTAAACTGACATACTTAGATATATTTGGGGTCGTAAATATACTTCATATTTATTTTGCATTCCTTGTAAAATGACTGATGTCATGGATATTAAATCTTTCCAAATTAGCAACAGAGAAAAGTGAAACTATATTTACCGCATCATACAGAGTCCTCAAGAAACTGATCTCTTCATTCAGGGAATCAGCCTTTCCTTGTAATTCCGCTCTATTTATAAAAGCTGCGTCTACATCCTGAAGAAGAGATGAATGCATAGTAACAGTAAAATTATAGATATATGTTTATATTTGCTATTCTTTTACATATAATTACAATTTATATATGATATCACTCACCCTCTTTATTCCAACAAACTCATTCTCTGCAGCTGTGCGTCTGTTCATTTCTTCTTCATATCTACAATAGAATGTTGAACATTAATAACAAGCCTAAAGAATTCTAAATATACAGGGTGCTTTTTCTTAAGAAACTTTTAACTTTAAATTTTCTTCTTAATAATATTAAAGTGGACTGGACTCTTAAATATATTTTAAGAGAGCACATGCAAAAATATAGACAAATGATATGTTGGAAATTGTGCAGACATTGAAGACATTTATTATTTTCTTCCCAGATATATATGATATTTCTGAATAACTCCATGATGTTGCAGTAAGAGTGGATTAATTTAATAAATTATTTATTCTATTATATTATAAACTATCTAAATAGCAGCATACCTTCTCCTCAGTTCTTCCACAGATTGCTCCATATTGTTCCTTTCTGAGTCCAGACGTTCTCTTTCACATCCCAGACTCTCCAGCTGTCTCCTGAGGTTACCAATAAAAGCCTCAAACAGTGGTTCTATCTGAATGTGGGCACTTTTCTGTTCTTGTAATAAAGACCACTTTGTCTCCAGCATTTTATTCTGTTGTTCCAAAAATCTAACCTAGAAAAAAAAATAATTTTATACTTTTTGTTAGAAACCATATATATTTAGTACAAGGTGTCTAATAATATTTTAGAAAATTTGTAAACTGCACTACAAGTGACATAGAAGCATGGCTTATTTCACCATGTAATGAAAACAGTATTTGTATTATTATTAATATTAGACTGCAATAGAAATTTAGTAACCCATACAAGTCTTTATACCAGAGATAGGCATCCTTTGGCTCTCTAGATGTTGTGGAATGCATGTCCCCTGCTGCTTTGCTAGCATTATGACTGTGAGAGCATTATAGGTAATGTAGTCCACAACATCTGGAATGCTGAAACTTGACTACCACTGCTCTAGACATTACTTGTATCCCAAATCATTCAGAAGTTAGTAGCTCGTTCTGTAATAGCATATCTAGATAAAACCTTAATGAATTAGTTAACACTTATTGTAGATCTAGCTGTAATTACATTGCACTTAGATTGCAATATATAATATTTTATTCATTTAAAAAAAAAAGAGTCCTGGTATTGGTAGACATTGGCTTCTGTAGCAAAAATGCTTCTGAAAGCACACTATTTTGATGTAAACTGCAAAATAGTTTAATTGTGTTGTCTCATAACCTCTTGAAATTAAGACATAAAAACACTGACTGATACCAGTTTGAACCATCAGCATAAATGGCTATAGAAGTGTAAAATTAAGTAACTTTTCCCCCTTTTTAACCTTTGCATAACTATTTTAAGAAGAAATAGTACATCCGCATATTACGAATTAAGTTATTTCTTTATTCCACGTATTCATTAAAATTATCTCACCTTGTCAATGAAAGAAGCAAATTTGTCATTCAGTCCCCTAATCTGATTCTTCTCTTCAGTCCTCACTCGCTGAATGCTTGGGTCGATCTCCAGGTTGAGAGGAGCCAGAAGACCTTGGTTCACAGTAACGTTGTTGATACCTCCAGAGCAACCAGATCCCCCAAATCCATAACCAATTCCTCCAATACCGAAACCAGATCCATATCCAGATCCATGTCCAGATCCGTGTCCAGTTTTCCCAGAATGGCAGCTTCCCACTGAGATCTTGTTTCCCCTGGAACTCATACTATGGGCACTTCTGCTGCTAAAGCAATGCAGTGTCTTATGACCATGAGCTGCTGATTTGGAGGAGTGAGATAATGTGTGGTAAGAGCTGCCATGTTTAGGAGAAGCCACTGAACAGGAGCTGAAGTGCTTGTGTCCAGAGGTACCAAGGATGGAGTGATGAGACATGATGTTAATTCTTGCAGAGGATGGATGAAGAGATCACGTTAAGTCTGCTCAGGCGATTCACATCTTCCAGACAAAAACTCACTCTTTTTATACTTCAAATGGGTGTTGGCTCGCTCACCAAAAATAATGTTATTAGCTGCTATGATCATTGTTTGGGAGTATTATTGCTGTCTGATTTCACGGAAATAAAACTTTAACACACCTGTCATCAAAGCTAAATGCATTTATTGTTGGCTTCCTTTAGTTTAACCCCGTAAGGACGGGAGTTCCATGACTTCCATTTTGGGGTGGTCCAAAACGCTGGAGGGCGGCACAGAACGTCCCCACCATTCTTTGTACTTACCGGGTCCCTGAGCTTTGCACTGACTGCAGGGGGCCTGCCTGAGCTCTCAAGCAGTCCCCCTAATGCCTGCAAAAAAGTTTATAAAGGTTTAAAAAGGTAATAAAAAGTTTAACAAAGTAAATAAAAATACTCGGATCATATATATATATATATGTATATATATATATATATATATATATATATATACAGGGAGTGCAGAATTATTAGAATTATTAGGCAAGTTGTATTTTTGAGGATTAATTTTATTATTGAACAACAACCATGTTCTCAATGAACCCAAAAAACTCATTAATATCAAAGCTGAATATTTTTGGAAGTAGTTTTTAGTTTGTTTTTAGTTATAGCTATGTTAGGGGGATATCTGTGTGTGCAGGTGACTATTACTGTGCATAATTATTAGGCAACTTAACAAAAAACAAATATATACCCATTTCAATTATTTATTATTACCAGTGAAACCAATATAACATCTCAACATTCACAAATATACATTTCTGACATTCAAAAACAAAACAAAAACAAATCAGTGACCAAAATAGCCACCTTTCTTTGCAAGGACACTCAAAAGCCTGCCATCCATGGATTCTGTCTTTGTTTTGATCTGTTCACCATCAACATTGCGTGCAGCAGCAACCACAGCCTCCCAGACACTGTTCAGAGAGGTGTACTGTTTTCCCTCCTTGTAAATCTCACATTTGATGATGGACCACAGGTTCTCAATGGGGTTCAGATCAGGTGAACAAGGAGGCCATGTCATTAGATTTTCTTCTTTTATACCCTTTCTTGCCAGCCACGCTGTGGAGTACTTGGACGCGTGTGATGGAGCATTGTCCTGCATGAAAATCATGTTTTTCTTGAAGGATGCAGACTTCTTCCTGTACCACTGCTTGAAGAAGGTGTCTTCCAGGAACTGGCAGTAGGACTGGGAGTTGAGCTTGACTCCATCCTCAACCCGAAAAGGCCCCACAAGCTCATCTTTGATGATACCAGCCCAAACCAGTACTCCACCTCCACCTTGCTGGCGTCTGAGTCGGACTGGAGCTCTCTGCCCTTTACCAATCCAGCCACGGGCCCATCCATCTGGCCCATCAAGACTCACTCTCATTTCATCAGTCCATAAAACCTTAGAAAAATCAGTCTTGAGATATTTCTTGGCCCAGTCTTGACGTTTCAGCTTGTGTGTCTTGTTCAGTGGTGGTCGTCTTTCAGCCTTTCTTACCTTGGCCATGTCTCTGAGTATTGCACACCTTGTGCTTTTGGGCACTCCAGTGATGTTGCAGCTCTGAAATATGGCCAAACTGGTGGCAAGTGGCATCGTGGCAGCTGCACGCTTGACTTTTCTCAGTTCATGGGCAGTTATTTTGCGCCTTGGTTTTTCCACACGCTTCTTGCGACCCTGTTGACTATTTTGAATGAAACGCTTGATTGTTCGATGATCACGCTTCAGAAGCTTTGCAATTTTAAGAGTGCTGCATCCCTCTGCAAGATATCTCACTATTTTGACTTTTCTGAGCCTGTCAAGTCCTTCTTTTGACCCATTTTGCCAAAGGAAAGGAAGTTGCCTAATAATTATGCACACCTGATATAGGGTGTTGATGTCATTAGACCACACCCCTTCTCATTACAGAGATGCACATCACCTAATATGCTTAATTGGTAGTAGGCTTTCGAGCCTATACAGCTTGGAGTAAGACAACATGCATAAAGAGGATGATGTGGTCAAAATACTCATTTGCCTAATAATTCTGCACTCCCTGTATATGATCTAAGTACTTTTATGTACACATACACATACATACAACATTAAGAAAAGTGTATTTTAATATTAATATATATATAAATTATGTGTCTATTAATATTAAAATACACTTAGAATGACGTTAATTTTACATATATATAATTATATATAATAATCTAAATAAATTGAAAAAAATGAAATAAATTAATATGTTAAAAAAATATTTAAAAAATATTGTTCTAACTGTATTTTTATATTAATATGCATTAATATACATATATATTAAATTCAAAATACATTTAGAATGACGTTATAAATACATACATGTATCTCTATCTATCTATCTACATGTGTATATATATATCTATATATATATATATATATATAGATATATATAGATATATATAAATAAAAAATAATTTTTGACAAATGTTATATATATATATATATATATATATATATATATATATATACAAACATATACATATATATTTAAATTCTACAAATATAGTTATATAATATTTTTACATAATCAAGTCATTTTATTAATTACAATCTGAGGGACCTGCCTGACAACCCAGGCAGAAAGTCCAGAGAATTTGACTCGCAAGCCCTCAATTTAACCCTCTAACTTTCTAGGACACCAGAAAACCTGTACATGGGGGTTACTGTTTTATTCGGGAGACTTCGCTGAACACAAATATTAGCTTTTAAAAACAGTAAAACATATCCCAACGATTAAATCGTCAGTCAAAATTCAGTTGTTTGCATTTTTCACACACAAGTTGTACTTTCATGGATGGTATAATTGTTGTGATACATTTTACTATTTTAAAACACTAATATTTGTGTTCGGCATAGTCTCCCGAGTATAACAGTATCCCCTATATACAGGTTTTATGGTGTTTTCAAAAGTTACTGAGTCAAATATAAGGCTTGAGACCGTATGGTAGCTCAGGAATGAGAATTAGCCCCATGATGGCATACCATTTGCAGAAGTAGACAACGCAGGGTAATGCAAATGAGGTATGTCAAGTCTTTTTTAGTAGCCACTTAGTCACAAACACTGGCCAAAATGAGCGTTCAATTTAGATTTTTGCATTTTTCACACACAATCAAATATGAACGCTAAGTTTGAATGGGTGAATTACGCCTGAACATACATATAGCGCAAATTAAAGGTTTTGTTTACATTTTGTTTTGATCACAACTTCTACAATTGGCTCAGTTCTTAAGGGGTTAAAATACTTTCAGTAATGGATTGCTTGCCAATTTATTCTGCCATATTTTTTTTCAAATCTTGACTTTTATGTTTGAAATGATAGTCATTTACATGTTTCATAAAAGATCAAGTGAACACTCAGTGAGGAATTGGCAGAAAACCACTCCTGGGGTACAAGTGGAGCGCTCAAATTGTGATCAACTCACCCATATGGGTATGTATACAAGTGTATATGAAAACTTCTGAGACAGCGTATCTAATTACCTATAAATAAGTCTATGTTAAAAAATGACAAAGTTCAAAATCATCATTTAGACCATTAGGCTGCATAGTGTTTAAATTAAAAATCCACTGCATTTCCTTTTTGCCTATTTTCTTAATGAAATCTCCCCCCCTCCAGTCTGGTAATATTCTCTGTATCGCATGGAATTGTAGTCCAGTGGGGTCACATTCATGTTTATTTTTAAAATGTAAAGAAACACTGTGCTTTTCAAGACCATTTCTGATATTCCTAATATGCTCCTGTATTCTGGTATGCAAATTTCTTTTCGTACGTCCTACATACGCCAGCCCACAAGGACATGTCAAAAGGTAAATGAACTTCATGTAAATGTTTCTTAGCTACTAATGAAATACATATTATTTCCCTGCAGCACATTTTTAACAAAAAATGCATTTTATCAAAATTTACCTTGATGACAGTGTTATGATATTAAACATAGTTTTGCGGTGACAGTTGTCCTTTAAAGAAGGTGAAATTCTGATTTAACCAGAGGAAAAATCCATGAGGACCTGAGCTTGTTTTCACTTTTTTTGGCAGACAACAGCCTTGTATCACTTTAACTTGGCATTCTTGAAACCTTTTTTGGCCTGTCTGACTAATGTAAATGTTATCACCATGCTACCACTGTAATTTGGCAAAATGTTACTGTACAAATCCCGTCAGCAGATATGGCACGTAAAGGCAAGAAGACTTGACATGTAACTCAGCCAAAACATTCACACACTAACACAGCTCATGGCAGATGAAGTTGTTCATCAGGATTAAGATGGTTGTGGCTGTGAGGTGATGCTTCAGATAAGTATACCTACGATCCACTAGACACCATGACAACCATCAACTAAGCTAAGATGTCATATTTGGGAGTCTTCGCAAATTATGCCGTTTTTAGCCTCATTAAAATCCAGTTTTATCCTCATTGATATGTTATATTTCTGCATGATCAAATCTTTATGATTTTTGCACCAAAAAAATAAAAACATGTTTTGCAGAATGCTACACCAAAAACACACAAGTTGTGGAGGAAAAGGTGATATGGTGAGAGAGACACAAATTGGGCTTTATATAGAGGTCCTCAAATGGGGGAAGGAGGAGTTATGGGAAGATACACAAAGTTTGGGACAGATAAATGTATAGTGTGTGAATAGGGAGATATGTCTTTAGATATGTAGTTTGGGCTGAGACATCTAACCACTTTCTTTTAATAGTTAACTGTTTAGTAGACAAGCTAAACGAGAGAGTGTTTTCATTGTATGATTGTGCTTATCCCTGCAACTACACTTCGTCATAAAGTACATTTCACAAATGAAAAGAAAAGCCATTTGAGTTTTTGGTCAGGACTCTGCCGACTGATCATCCTTTTCTGAGTGCCTTCTTTTTAAACTAACAGAAAAGCACTTTATCTGCTATGTTTCTT